GTTCCACCCTAAACTGATAAAACTTACCATCCCCAAGGAGTATACACACACACACACACACACACGTATAAGCCAAAAATCATAGATACTGTAGCTTGAAAACATCGTGAACCTTCATGTACCAGGACAAATGTGGGTGTTCTGCGGCTGCCTCTTACCTTCCGAGGTTGGTGCCTCCGCTTTGCCCCTCCCACACCCTGTCCACTGGTGATGTGGGCTGAAGGGCAGTGAGTTTAGCCACTTGGTTCTTGGGAATTTCTAGTTGGGACAACAGCCTTGACTGAGTGTCCTCCAGAGTATGCCGTGGGCAGGAGAGAGGGGCCTGGGGGTTGTCTTTGCTCAGAGCAGCTCCATAACATGCAGCAAGACAGAGTCTGCCCAAGTCGGGACTTGTCAGCCTTCCTCCAAATATAGCCTCTCTCACAAATTAAATTTGCTTTGATATTCTACCACAGACCACCTTCTCATCATACTTTGAAAACATGTTCAAATCCTGCCATAATGTCTTTAGTTCAGGTTTGACTAGCTTGTTCGTATCAAAATGCTATGCTAGTGAGAATTTCACTCTGACCACTTTTAACCTGCTTTTGTGACTCATCTGTGACTGGCTTTCCTAATTGTGTTATTTCTAACTCTTCGGTCATGAACACGGAGAGTGTTAGGTATGTATTGTTTATGTACATGTGTGTAGGCTGATTTCACGTGATGTGTCACTATGAAACAGATTATAAATGGCTGTTATCAGTAGTCCAGATTTAGTCTTTCAAAGAAATCAAAAGCTAAGTTTGTGATGTAGTGTACTAGAAAAATTTTAGTAAATTCAGATTTTTTTTTTTTTTGGCCATGCCGTGTAGCTTGCCGGAGCTTAGTTCCCTGACCAGGGATTGAATCTGGGCCCATGGCAGTGAAGTGCAGAGTCCTAGCCACTGGACTGCCAGAGAATCCCATAATTCAGATGTTTTTGTACTTTTATGATCACTTCATTTCAATGAAAAATGAATATTAACAGAAGACAATTTAGAGACCAGTCTTTCTTGGGTCTTCCTTGATGGTCCAGTGGTTAAGAGTCTGCCTTGCAATACAGGGGATGTGGGTTCAATCCCTGGTTGGGGAACTAAGATTGTGCATGCCACGGGGCAACTAAATAAAAAAATATTAAAAAAAAATGATTAAGACTAGTCTTTCTTTAAAGTTCAGAAAAAGGTGTACGGAATTAAAGCAGAACTTCCCAGTGTTGAATCAGTGATCCAACCAATGTGAAATTTAAAGACAACCTAGATTCAGATTTCAGCTGGAGGATTTTGGAGCTCATCTGGTTCAGCCCCTTCTTTCTGGTTAATGATGAGGAAAATGATGTTCAGGAAGGTTAAACAAGTTGCCCAAAACCACGCAACTAGTTACTGGCAGAGCTGAGACTCAAACAGCAGTTCCTTGCTGTGGTCTTGCTGTAACCTGGCACTTCCTAATTAGTGGTTAGAGAGACATGTTGTACGTGAATGTGTTTACTTGAGTTTTACACTAAAGGGAGTGATTAAAATTTATTGAATATCTATTTGCTTCGCACTTTTTAAGTCTCGTTCAGTTGCTGTGTCCTACTCTTGGCAACCCCCATGAACTGCAGCATCCCTGTCCTTCACCATCTCCCAGAGTTTGCTCAAACTCGTGTCCATTGAGTTGGTGATGCAACCATCTCATCCTCTGTCACCCCCTTCTCCTGTCCTCAATCTTTCTCAGCCTCAGGATCTTTTCCACTGAGTCGGCTCGTAAATCTCTTATTTCATGTAATTCTTACATAGTCCTGTGAAGTAATTAACAGCCCCACTTTTCAGATTAGGCAGCTGGGGTGCAGGAAGGTTACTGACCCGTTCAAGGTCATGTGACTGATGGAGCTGGTGTTTGAGCCCTGGGTCTGTGTGACCCGCTCCCGCCATGCTCCTCTGCTGTGGCCCTAGAGAGAGTAACAGAAGCCTCGCAGGGGCGTGGGCAGTAGTGATGGCTATCTCAGAAACACCCTTTTCAGACTTCGAACTCCCTTGGTATAAAGAAGAGCTGTGTACAGATGTAGGCAGCCTTCTCAGAGGACCAGCAGCACTCAGCAGATGTGGGCTGATCTTCAAACCGTCTCTGTCACGTAAATGGTATTTTCTGGCTGGGCTGCCAAGGCCCAGATAGAGTCAGGGACTTGCCCAATCTCTTATCACAAAGCCGCATGGCCCCGCTCCCAGTTCCGTTCTTCGTCCTGTCTAGCATAGATTTCACCACTTTTGTTCTTTCCTGTCTTACACCAAGATTGTTTAAGTACTTCCCAAAAATAATGAGCCACGTGTGGGTGTGCTCGTTCTCCGGAATGAATCACTGTGAAAGAGGCCGTGAACCAGGGAGAGGGGCGTGCATGTCTGGGAGCAGGGGCTCTGCTTCCCCGGCTGCTAATTGACGGACTCCGAAGTGAGCTGCTTTTCCAAAGGCGGCCGCGGGTCTGGCCCGCGTGTCCCACTGTGCTCAGAATAGCCCTCTGGGAGTCGTTCGCTTTCCCTTCTGGCTTCCGAAAATAGCCCCGAGGCTGTGCTCATCCCCAGCCGGCCGTCCGGGCGCGTGTGTTGAGAGGTGTGCATGCCACAGGGACCCCTTTTGTGCCTGAATGTCCCCATTGACAGAGAGAGGAATGGGCCTTCGCATTCACTGATGAGTAGGCAGGACTCCAGCGTGAGTCAAAGGGGTTTGGGCTGAGTGTTCCGAGAGTTGCAGAAGTAAATTTCAGTCAGCAAGAAGAATGACATTTAGAAGGAATTTACTTCTAAAATTCCTTTTGTGTTTGGGATCCTAGTCTAAAGGGTACCTGCTTTAAACTTACTGCCTTTAAAATACAGCACTCCCCAAGCCCTTCGGCAGGGAGCTGCATGTCTTGGAATTTCTCACAGAAGAAAGGGCTCTGATCAGATGCTGTGGGGAAAAAAAAAACCCATAGGCCGTGCAGTGAAGATCCTCACTGTCCGAGAACCTGTCCACGCTCGCTATCCTTTGTCTCCTTGGGGATGGCAAGGATCGTGTCGTTTACAGAAAGCCTGCAGGACTGGGGGGTTGGACCCAGAGATATTTCTAATCTGTCTTTGGATTTGAAAGGCCAGGAGATGCCTTTCAGTGTTTTAGAGGAAGAGACAAAGATAGACTGTTTACAGCCGAAAGGGGTGAGTTACAACAGGATAGTTTTTCACGGGACTGGTCATAAATGTCTCTTCTCCAGGGGCCGTAGTTCGAATATGTTCCCTCTTGGTATCCAGATAGTATGCGCTTAGTGTCCAGCTGGGGACTCGGGTCCCCCTGCCACTTGCATCCCTGATGGGCGAGTGCTGCGTTCAGCACCTTGAGCCCCAGCCTCGGTTCCCTGGTGGGTCGAGCCGTTCTGCCCATCCCCAGAGGTCAGGGCTGGGTTAGGCTCCTGGGAGACAGTGCTGGGGAGAACCAACTGCTGCTGTCTGTGCTATTCCTGTTGGATGGATAAATAAAGGATTTCAGATTCCAGGGCTGCTGAACTGACTTTCAGAGGCACCAAATTCATTTACAGTAATTTCCTGTCAACAGTGCACACTTAGGAATAATACACACCCAGCCAAACTCGTTAGTCCCAGAGACGATTGCATATACTATATTTGGGGGGGGGGGAATATATATATATATGTTATATATATATATAAATATATATTATATATATATATATAGTACTTTTTAAGTGATGATATCCAAGGCCCTTTCAGAACGCGTTAGATTTATTGAGTACTTACTATACGTTGGCTTCCCAGGCGGCACTAGTGGTAAAGAACCTGCTTGCCAGCACAGGAGACATAAGAAACGCGGGTTCAGTCCCTGGGTTGGGAAGGTCTGGAGAAGGGCACAGCAGCCCACTCCAGTATTCTTGCCTGGGAAATCCCATGGACAGGAGAGACTGGTGGGCTACAATCCACAGCGTTGCAAAGAGTCAGACACTGACTAAAGCGACATAGCATGCACCCATTCTGTGCATTAGTGTATTTAATCCTCACAATGACTGTATGAAGGAGGCACTAACATTACCTTCTTTGGAGGGCGTTCTTTTTGCCCCTCTTGAAAGGGGCTCCTGCTGGGAACAAAAGGGAGGAGGAGGTGGTTGGACCAGTCAAGGGAAGCTTGTCAAAGGAAGTGACGTTTAAGGTGAATTTTAAAGAACTTGTAAGAATTAGCCAGGAAAAAACCATTGCAGCAAAACCCTGTGTGAGAGAGCACGCACACTGCATTCAGGAAACAGTGGGCGTTTCTGGTGCAGAGAAAGGAGATGGGGTTGAAGATGGCTCTCAGAAGCGGTGGTGGTGTGGGAAGGAGTATGCGGGGGAGGGGCCCTCATCTCCCAGGGGACCGAGCTTTGCTTTCATCCTTAGGCGTCTAAATTCAAAGGAAAACCCTTTTCCGAGCCACAAGACAGTTTTTTAAAGCAAGTCTAAGTCTAAAGCAGCCCCCCGCCTCCCAGGTGGTGCAGTGGTAAAGAATCCACCTGCCAAAGAAAGAGACAAGGGTTCAGTCCCTGGGTCGGGAAGATTCCCTGGAGAAGGAAATGGCAACCCACTCCAATATTCTTGCCTGGGAAATCCCAGACAGAGGAGTCTGGCAGGCTACAGTCCATGGGGTCACAAAGAGTCAGACACAACCTAGCTACTAAACAACAACATACAACAGTCTAAAGCAGAATTAAAAAGGTAGTTTTTTGTTTCTTGAAGACATAAGCTAGAGCAATTAGAGGAAAATGCGGGGTGGGTGGGGGTGTCGCGGAGCAGAAAGCCTTGTCTGTGATCTGAATAGACAGGTGAAAAGGTTGGTCTTCCCCTGACGAAGTCATCTCTGGCCCCATCCCTGTAAAAAGCACCTTGTTTTGGAACCGTGAGTGTGCTGGGGGATTGTATTCTAACTCCAGAGAAGGACCTAGGCTAAGACCTCACCACTGACATCAGCGTCCACTCCCAAATTCCCCACAGCTCTGCTGTGTGCGTGCACCAGCTGCCTCCAAGCCAACTACACGTGTGAGACGGATGGGGCCTGCATGGTCTCCATTTTCAACCTGGACGGGATGGAGCATCATGTGCGCACCTGCATCCCCAAAGTGGAGCTGGTCCCCGCTGGGAAGCCCTTCTACTGCCTGAGCTCCGAGGATTTGCGCAACACACACTGCTGCTACACTGACTTCTGCAACAAGATCGACCTGAGGGTGCCCAGCGGTGAGTGGACACCCTTGTTGGACTATTGGCGCGTCGTGGAGGTAGGGCACCCCGTCATTTCATCCTTCTCTACTCTGCCCCCGCCCCTTTGTTGGAGGCTAGGTGAAGGTGCCTCTTGGATGCTCCCTGAGGTGACATGGGAGGGCATTCCTGCCAATTCTGGTCTGTAGATCCCAGGAAAGGGAGACAGACTTGTCGAGTGCGCCGCAGAGGTGAAAGCCGCGTTTTGGGTCGTGGCTGAGGAGCCATCGGCAGCTGGTGGGGAGTGGGAGAGCCAGACAGAGACCCCTATGGGAGGGTCTGGGGTGATCCCGGAGGAGGCAGCCCATAAGCCTTGTGACGGTGATGGCAAAATGGGAAGAGGGACTCGAGCTGGGAAGGATGGCGCGCTAAGCTGGGGAGTAGTAGACACCAGCCTTCACAGGTCCGCCACTTAAGAGGCGTGACTGGGGAGATCTGAGGAGGCGGGGAGAGACCGCGTTGAGCTCCAAGAGGCCGTCACAAATGGAGGAGCAGAACCTGGTGTGTGCCTGGGGCATGGGGGTGGGAAGACACTGTGAAGTACTGTGAAATGACCGAGTGGGTTGTGGCTCTGACTGCTCCAGAAGGTGCCAGAACTGGAGAGGCTGGCATGTGAGAGTGTCCAGACAGATCCACTAGCCCAATGAAGCCAAAGTGTGGGGAGAGGAAGGGGGCATTTCCACCTGGATGGAGGAGCTGGGGAGAGGGAGGCCTTGGCGATCGCACGTTTTCACTCTCTTCTTTCCCTCTCCTCTCTCACCTGCCCCAGGTCATCTCAAGGAGCCTGAACACCCCTCCATGTGGGGCCCCGTGGAGCTGGTGGGCATTATTGCCGGCCCAGTGTTCCTCCTGTTTCTCATCATCATCATTGTTTTCCTTGTCATTAACTATCATCAGCGCGTCTATCACAACCGCCAGAGGCTGGACATGGAGGACCCCTCGTGTGAGATGTGTCTCTCCAAGGACAAGACGCTCCAGGACCTGGTCTATGACCTCTCCACGTCAGGGTCTGGCTCAGGTACCGCCTCTTCAGGCCTCATGCCAGCCATTAGCCTTGCTCACTGCCTCCCAACACGATGGAACGTTCAGGAAGAAGGCTGGCTATTTGCTTTCAGAATTCCCCTCCTTTGGGAGTCTTGACATGTAATAAGATGATGGGGTTCACAGAAAATATCTCCTTCTCTGGAATTCCAAGGATCAGCTGCAGAACTCTCCCTTCCAGAGTCCCTGCCTCTCTTCAAGTCTTGTAACCATGCAGCTATTAAAATTCACCTGGTTCCGCCTGAGCAGCGGAGTGCTCAGTATCAGGGCCCCTTTTGAGAAACTGGAGTGTGCCGGGTTCCTGCGAGGTGGTGGCAGCTAATCATTGATCTGTGAGCAACCGCACGGGGAGTTTAAGGACACCGAGTAAGGCCAGAGAACTGGAGTTGGGTAAATCATTGACTCGTACCAGTTGCCCAGGGGTTTATGGCGGCAGTTGAAATAAAAGCAGCCAGGGCTTCCAGCATGGCGTCAGCACCACTTCCGGAGCTGCCTGTCAGTGACCGAGCCTTTCTTAGATGGACTGAACTGAGACTAGAACTTAGGGTAAGGGCTGCTGGGTGGTTCCGGTCTCAGAGTAGAGCTGACCTAGCTAGTGAGTGTGGCTGGGAGTACAAAGCAGTCTGTTTAGGAAGATAAATAGTTATTTTAGTGACAGTGGTATTCTGTTCCTATGGGGAAAAATGTGCACACAATGGCCACTGTTGCTATTCTAACTCAAACTTACAGGCTCATGTCCATGAGAGTTCCATGTGTGTTGGTGTATGTTTTTTCAGCCCATGACAGACTCTTCTGAGGGGAAATTATGCCATCAGTCATGGCCAGACATCCCTTCTTGAGCACAGGAATACTTTGAGCTCTGACATCTTCTGAATTTCCGTGGTTTTGCCTTTATTAAGCTCTGCAGTAGAGAGTGCCAAGATGATGGATATATTTAAAAGCTGCATATTTTTAGGAAGAGAGAAAATATATGGCTTGTTCTTTGCTCAAAGAGGGTAGGGCAGTGGTTAGAACTGACTGGCTCTGTGACTTGATTTGCTGCTGGAGGAGGGTCACTTGGGTTTTCTGGAGTCTTTTTTTAAGATCGGGATTAGCTGAGGCGAGGGCAGGTTCAGGGTGGTTACTCCATCATCTGGAGTGAAATGATAAGTAACTGCTTTCTCTCTGGTTGGTTTAGTCCACTCGATTCAGAATATGCAAAGCTTCCAAGCTGCCGGGGTTTTAATCCTGTGGCCTTAAAGTAATAAGTCCTTCCTGCTTGTGTAACTTTCAGTTCACACTAACAAGTGTGTGTTGAGCGTCCTGTGGGTGATACAGGGTAAACAAGATGAGCAAGAGGCCGAGCCGGGACTGGATAGAAGAGATTGTGGGGAGGGATCTCAGAGAGGAGGTCGTGTCTGAAGGGGTCCTGTGTGGGAAGTTTTGAGAGTGGGAATAGGACAGGGGACATTCCAGGCCACCGGAAAACCCTTGAGCAAGAGGACAAAGAGACACGAACATTCACTGAATGATCCAGAGGCCGGCTTGTCCAGGCCCTGGTGGGGAAATGCTCAGGCTGTGCTTTGTCTGGGGAGGGGAGAGGCAGCTACTGAAGGCTGTCGTGTGAGAAAGCGTGTGCTCATGTTTTCCTGCGGAAGGAATCCTGGCTGGTGTGGAGGGTGAATTCATCCATCTAGCAGCCCCCTGTTAGGGAGGGCAGGGCGAGGCTGCCTGTGCGGGGTGTGTGGGGCAGGCCAGGTCAGAGGGCAGGCAGAGAGACCGCTGGAAGTCTTCCAAAGGAGGTCAGAACAGGTCAGGAGGGCCGGGAGAGGAGGGGGCCAAGTTGAGAAGCATTTGGCAGCTCTGTGCTGTGGGAGTTATAGGCATAAACTTCAGAGTCAGTCTTACGTGCTTTGCCATTTACAGCTTGTATGAATTCCAGTGAATAACTTAACCTTCCCCTTTGAGGCTTGGTTTTCTCATTTGTAAAATGGACATGATAATAATACCTACCTTATGGGTGGTTGTGAGGAAATGAGGTCATTTATGCAAGTGCCTCTTGCATAGTAAACAGGCAGTAAACAGCTTGGGGGTTGATAACACTTTGATTTGTTCAGTCAAGGAGAGGGAGAGTAAGAGTCAGTCACGATGGTGGAGCTGACTGGAGAGGGAGGGAGACACTCCTTGCATGGATCAAATGAGGTGATAAATGAGTCCTATAAAGACAGTGAAATTAATCTGAGAACCAGCCTGGGCAGTCGTTCCCCTCCCCGCCAGTCCTGCTGCATCTGGAGCTCTCGGTGAGCAGAACAGTGATCCCTTTGGAGAGCGGTGGGAACCTGGTGTGCCCTGAGCTGGGGTTGGCTTTCATGGGCCACGCAGCACTGCCCTCTAGTGGCCACTGGGCAGAGCAGCCAGAGGCGCTCCGCTCACTCAACCCCCGACTTTGCTCTTCCACATAAAGCGGCTGTGGGTGGCCTGGCCCACGGGAGGCTGGCTGAAGAGTTAGTAAATCCGGTTAGACAGTTACATTCACATCTGTGGTCCATACTGGCTGGGAGGAGAACCTGCGTAGATGAGGAACAGCTAATCATATGCATTTCCCCGTCTGGGCTCCCAAGCTCTCGGTGGTCAGTGGACCCCTGTAGTAGGGAGGCGCTGTGGGAAGGAAGGGCTCCTCCAGTGTGGCCGTGAGAGTGGGAGTTGCACAGTTCAGCAAATGTATACAATGTCGGCTTTCTTTCCCTTCTTTGGTCCCCAGGGTTACCCCTTTTTGTCCAGCGCACAGTGGCCCGGACCATCGTTTTACAGGAGATTATTGGCAAGGGCCGGTTTGGAGAAGTGTGGCGTGGCCGCTGGCGGGGCGGTGATGTGGCTGTGAAAATATTCTCTTCTCGGGAGGAACGGTCTTGGTTCCGGGAAGCAGAGATCTACCAGACAGTCATGCTTCGCCATGAGAACATCCTTGGGTTCATCGCCGCTGACAATAAAGGTAAAGGGCTGGGCTTACAGACAAGGTGTCCCGGAGCCCCCCACACGCTCAGATGGAGGGGTGACTGGGGAGCCTGAACAGCCACGAGACAGCACAGTTCTCTTTGCCTTCACAGTTGCTCCCCATAGAACAAGAATATGAGTAAGGGCAGTGGTTTTCAAATTTTCCTTCTACGAAAAGCTTGTACTGCAATCCAGGTTATTAAGCAAGTAAACAAGCAGTTATTAAACAGATAAATAAGCCCTCATCCTGCCTGCTCACTCGCCCTTCTGTGATACCCCCAAACCCACCCCCAGGGTAGTCCCTAGAGGAGCTTCAGTAAACTTACGTTGAAAACAACTGGAAGGAAGAAGGGAAGCTTGAACACCTGGAAGGAAAGGACAGCCCCAGGAAAGCCTGTGGCCCGCACTCCTTGGCAGAGTAGCATCACGTGCATTGTTGCAGGGGAGCAGGCGCCCCAGAGCCTGCCTCCCCCGCTGCCCCACCGCGGCCTTCACGCTCAGCTTTTGATCCACTTAGATCTGAGGTTCTTTGTTTCCTCCTCCCTCCTCCGCTGGTTTTGCTGTAGTTTTTTTTGAGTTTTTCTCATGTGCCTAGGCATGTACTCATTTTTAAAAGCCTCACTGACTAGCAAAAGAGAAAAGTAAACTAATGGTTGATTATAGGAAGTAATCACGCAACAGGTGTTCTGGTGAGCACAAAATGGGGGTGAGATGGGGGTCACGGAGATCATACCTGAACTTGATTGAGGCAAAGGTGGCAGGGAGTTGGTCAGAAAGAAAAACCAATGAAAAAAGAAGTCCAGACACATGTGCAGAGGGGTGGTATCTTTGGGAAGCTGCAGGTGACTTAGAACGTTCCAGCCAGAGACATGGGTGGGGAGGTGGTGGAGGCCAGGTCATGGGGAGTCATTTTGAGAGGATTGTATTTTATTTTAGAGAGAGGGTAGTAATTGACATTTCATTCGTCAATTGAGTAATATTCACTGGCTACTGTCTGGTCCGGGGGTCATCACACAGAAGACCAAGGCTCAAAAAAAAAAAGACCAAGGCCCAGTTCCTGCCTGTACAGTGCCCAGGAAGAGAGGACAGCTGGCACCTGGGCAGGCAGCGCACTTAAGACAGAAAGACCGTGGGTGGTGGTGTTTGCATTTTAGAAGAGTGTCTCTGGCAGTCAGGACACAGCTCGCTCCGTGGTCCAGCAATTTTAGAAGTTGGTGCTGGCAGAGGCTACAAAAGATGCTAAGTGTTTGTTTTTCTGTTCTGAAACAACAGCAGGCTGCTTGTTTCTCACAGTGCCGTGGGGGCTGTAGGGGCCTCAGTGCCCCCATACTGAAGAGCCTTGACCTCTCACGCAAGGGAGGAGAGAATTCCTTGCTCCTTCTCAGTAAGCTTGGTGCTTTGTTAAACAGCATTACCTTTTGATGATTAGTTTAAATCTGACATGTATTTTAAAGGCTCAAAAAGACCTCTTCCCCTTAAACTTATAAGCAGGGTCCTCTGGACCTCAGGGGTGTGTTTGATGGACCCCTTGCTCATAATCAGAGAAGCAAAGGTTGGTGCTTTCCCAGGAACCACTCCCTGTATTGATTCTGGCAGCTCGTGTGAGTAGGATCTGGCTGTTGAAACCCACACCAGAGCCAGGGGAGAAGAGCAGACTCTTTAGTTCTTGTCTTTTTAGCATGATATGTGTAGTGTAGTGCCCTAGAACTAGGGCCAGCCTGGAATTGGGAGATCTCAATCCAATTTCCAGTCTTCATATTGACAGTAGCACAAGCTCATTAGATTACCAGCTTTGGTTTTCCTTTCTCTCCCCCCGTCCCTCCCTCCTTCCCCCTGTACACTGCACATCCTCCTCCCCTTGGATGAAAGTGTGCTCACTGCCTCCCATTGCTCTTCCGAGGCTAAGATGATAAGATTCCTCTCTGGAATCCTTGGAAAGTGTGCTCTTCATGTATTGAAAAGCATTTTTGGCCCGGAACACAGTAATGCACAAAGGAGCTCTTTCCTCCTCTCCCGGAGAGCTCATAGCCTGGTAAGAGCAGTGGACTTCAGAGAAGCGCTACAGATGGGCCTGGTGCTGGGATTGGTCTGTGCTCGAAGGGTCTTGGAGCGCAGAGGAGGGCCTACGAAACCTTCCTCCTTGATGGGGAGGACACAGCCAGTCATGGTTTTGATGAGCAGGTCTTGTCAGGATCAGAAACAAAAGAAACAGATGGTCCTGTTACTTCCCCTAAGCACATGCTCCCTGTTCTTCTGAAGGCCTCACATTTCAAATCTGGAATAGGGGAGTCAAGGTTCAGAATCCTACAGCCACCTGCCAGAAGGGAGCAGGTCTAACTAAGAAAAGCTGTTCTCCTTATCTTCCTGGAGCCCAAAGCTGTGGACGGCTGTAGATGAGAAGGGCACCGAGGGGCCTCAGGAGGTGTGGGGGCGAGGAGCAGGAATTCGGGGGTCACGGGGGGTTTGCGTGGCACGTATACTCTTCCTCGCCAACCTTGCCCTTTCTGCTGGTAGTTGTGCTTTTTCTGAAACTCTTCTGTGGTTCTCCGCAGATAACGGCACCTGGACACAGTTGTGGCTCGTGTCAGACTATCATGAGCATGGCTCCCTGTTTGACTATCTGAACCGGTACACGGTGACCATTGAGGGGATGATCAAGCTGGCCTTGTCTGCCGCAAGTGGGCTAGCACACCTGCACATGGAGATTGTGGGCACCCAAGGTGAGTGGACCTGCTGAGCAGCCATCCCATCCCTGTCAAGCTCCTGGAAGTCCTGTGCGCTGAGAAAGCTGGAGCTGGGCCTCAGGAACGGGGGTCTGGGCTAATGGAGAGGGGTCTGAGCTTTACTTGAGCAGGAACGAGAGGTGCCTCTGCCTTCAGAGTTACCTGAGGGACTTCTGTGGGAAATGTTGGTTGGTTGTTCCCCGTTTCCTGGCGTGGTTGTTGGTTGGGGAGCTGGTGTTAACTGAGAGATCGTCTCAGATGCCCACAGTTCACAGTTAAATGAAGGGAATGAGAAGATGGATTGAACTACTGTGCCGAGATTCAGTTTAGTGAGCGCACGTGCTCATCGTTGGGTCAGCTGGATGGTTAGACACTGGGCTGTACTGTCTGGGAGGGTTCTCCTGGAGGAACACTACCTCGGGTGTCCCTGCTTGTTGACTGACATCAGCCTTTTGGGAGCTCCCAGGTCTTGGCAGGTGGCACGTTGCTTGCTGGTGTCTGGTCAGTTGGGCAGGAGCTCTTTCTGTCTGTGATCAAAAACCAGCCGTGAGAGTTTGACACTATCCCTAGACTCTGCAGAGAAAGTAGTGGTTCTTATCTCCCTTGTTTGGTTCTGAGAACCTAGTCAGTATAGCAGCTTTTTCTCAAGTCCTTGACTATTCTGTACAGGAGTATATGAGTTCAGGGAAGGTGAGCAGGAATAGCATTCATAAAGTAATGTTAGCTAATCCGCATGCCCTGTCTAAGCACTTGAATCACTCACATTAATATATTTAACTTTCACAACATTCCCGTGAAGTACTGGTGTTTAGGCTTCCCAGATGGCGCTAGTGGTAAAGAACCTGCCTGCCAGTGCAGGAAACATCAGAGACGTGGGTTCAGTCCCCGGGTCGGCAAGATCCCCTGGAGGAGGGCATGGCACCCCACTCCAATATGCTTGCCTAGCACATCCCATGGATAGAGGAGTCTGGTGGGCTGCAGTCCATAGTGTCCCAAAGAGTTGGACACGACTGAAGCAACTTAGCATGCACACACACACAGTGGTGTTTACTCTCATTTTATGGATGAGACAACCAATATATAGACAGATTAAGTTGCATTTCCTGGGTTAGTGGGGGGCAAAACCAGAACTGAAACCCTCATATCCGGCTGCAGAGACTATGCTTAAAATGCTTATGCTATGTTTCTTTAAAGATCCCTGTTTTTATCCTCCACCAGGGAAACCTGGAATTGCTCATCGAGACTTAAAGTCAAAGAACATCCTGGTGAAGAAAAACGGCATGTGCGCCATCGCAGACCTGGGTCTGGCTGTCCGTCATGATGCGGTCACAGACACCATTGATATTGCCCCTAACCAGAGGGTGGGAACTAAACGGTAGGAAGGCCCAGGGCCTGTGCCCTTGCCCAACACTTGTACTGAATAGCCCTTGTGTGCCCTGGCCCATGTGCACGGGAGAGGGAGTGTGGTCTCAGACAGCTGGCGGGTGAATTGAACTCCTGCTCCCACACTGGAAAGCCACACAGGTTGCATGGAGCAGATACAAGTGTCAGCAGCATACCTCCATAGAACCATATACCCATAGGTATACATTGGGCAGGTGAGGCAGTGGAGAAAGAGAGCTTGGAGCAAGGTTTGGAAGGGGAACAGGCACCGGGCTTGGCTAGCCGGAAGGGAGAATGCAGTCTGGAGGGGTGGCCTCTGCAGGACCCCTGAGGAGGCAGAGCACATGTTTTGCTTGGGGTGTGGAGGGCAGTTTCACTTAGCAAGAGCAGAGGTACTCCAGAGTAGAAAATAAGGGGCCCCCTTCAGGACTGTGGGGCCTCCCTCCTGCCTCATAGAAAAGTAAAGTAAGAAATAAGGGACAAGGACTTCCTGGTGGTCCCAGGGTTAAGACTCCACGTTCCCAGTGCAGAGGGCCCAGGTTTGATCCCTGGTCGGGAAAATAGATCCCACATGCTGCAACTAAGAGTCTGTATGCCACAACAAAGATCAGAGATCCTGTGTGCCTCAACCAAGACCCAGCATAACCTAATAAGTAACTAAATATTTAGAAAAAGAACTAAGGGACAGGAACTCCCCTACTGGTCCAGTGATTAGGAATCTGCCCTTCATTGCATGTGACACAGGTTTAATCCCTGGTCAGGGAACTAAGATCCCACATGCCGTGCGGCTTGGCAGAAAATTAAAAAAACGAATAAATGAATGCAAAACATGGGAGTTTGCAATAAGAAGAATCCATCACTTCCTCCTCCCCAAGGGGCAGTCTTTGGTGATGGCCGTCCCACATTCAGGGGACCCTTGAACCAGTGTTTTGAGTCAGGAGAGAAGTCACTGTTTTCCATGCATGACCACATTTCCTTTGCTATTGCAGATACATGGCCCCTGAAGTACTCGATGAGACCATCAACATGAAGCACTTCGACTCCTTTAAATGTGCTGATATCTATGCCCTCGGTCTTGTGTACTGGGAGATTGCTCGAAGATGCAACTCTGGAGGTACCTTTCTCCCTGCCTTCCCTGCTCCTACCTCCCAGTCCAGAGTGCCAGGCCACCTGAGAGGCTGGGTTTTGACTGCAGCCTCCTTTCTCTTCTCGGCTTGTCAGATGCCTCATGCCAGCACGCGTCACACGTAGGATTCTCATCCTAGCGGAGGGAGGGGACCTGGGAGCAGCAGTTGCTAAGAGTGTGTTTACTCTTGTTGTATGTTGTGGTGACCATTCCAGAGGCTCATTTGGCTTTTTTTTTTTTTAAACACACTGTCTTTAGTGGTCTGTTGAGGTTGGGAAAGCCCTGGACAGGAATAGTACAGGACTAATGCAGGGGGTCTCCTTCACACTGAAGGCAGGGTATTCTGATACACTGGCTCTCAAGCCACCTGCTTGGGGAATGTGGGGTTTTATTGATAATGGTGATTTCTCAATTCGTAGCAGAAAGCTTACTAACACATAGAATTTTCTCACAGTGAGTTTTTTCTTCTGTAATATTTTCTTATATCTTTGGCATTTGCAACTGCTCAACCATGTCAGAACCCAGTGAAAAGCAGTACCGGATTTGGCAGAAAACACTTTTTAACATCAGCTTAGTACGTTCGAATTTTACGGTGATGTCCAAGTATTCTGTCACGTGATCAAGTTCAAGAGCCACTAGAACCCTGCCCTCAGCCATTTATCTTTGATGTAAGAGAGTCCAGATCAGTGGAAGTGAATTAAATTAATAAAAAAGAACTGGTGGGTGTTCCAGCAGAGCCCATTTCTGTGTTGTACTGCCTTTTTCCTTCTGTGATATGTTTGGTAAGGTCCAAGTCATAGGGAGGCATCTAGGTATTGTACATTTTAAATTTTGATCATGATATACAAATAAAAGAGATCAAGATGTATCTAGCCACACAGATTTTAAACTGTGAACAAGTTAAAGTTTTCTTTCTCCATACCATCCAGAAATTGGGGCTAAGTGTGTAATAATAGTACTAAGATTTATTCACCACTTGCTATGTATAAACTCACTTAATCTTTACTGCAAACCTATGAAGTGGGTACTGTTAATTGTCACCATTTTGCAGATGAAGAATATGAGTCACAGGTTAGGTAATTTGTCGAGAGTCACACTGCTAATAAACTAGGATTCAGACCTTGGCGGACTGAGGCCAGAGTTGAAGCTAACTGCATCTTAGCTAATTACCAAGTCAGACTCCTTTTAAAAATCTGTCCCATCAGCTCAGGACAGTAGAATTTTTCTGGAAAAAAGGCATGAGAAAGTTACATATGATTTTTTAAAATACTAATAACTTTTTATTATGGAAAATATTTCCGTTTGTAGCTCTAGAAGGTAAAAGACTTCAAAAATATAGTACTGTTATCACACTGTAAAAATCAACAGTAATTCTTCTTTATAAATTTTTTAGCTGCTTTGGTGGGTTTACTGGCTATTTCTCTCTCAGTTAGTTAATTAGTTGGGCTGCGTCAGGTCTTAGTCGCGGCACCCAGAGGCCTCGTTGTGTCCTGTGGGATCTTTCCTTCCAGGGCTCAGCTTCTCTAATTGTGGCTAACGGACTTAGTTACTTCGAGGCATCTGGGATCTTAGTTCCTCCACCAGGAGGACAGATTCTTAACCACTGGACCACAGGGGAAGTCCCAGTAGTTCTTAATATCATTTAACATTAGTTAGTGTTGAGATTTCCTCCGTTGTCTCCTAATTTTTTTAAAAACAGCTTGGTGAATGTCCATCCATTGCAGTTGATTGATATACCTCTTAAGTCTCTTATGATGTACAGCTGACCACTCCATTTTTTTTTTCTTCTGCAGTTTTTAAAGGTGGAGAATCCAGGTCCTTTGTCCTGTAAGATTTTCCTATGTAGATTTTCCTGATTGCTTCTTTATGGAGTTTACACATTCTACTGTTTCTGTGAATTTCCTATGGGAATTACATCTAAAGACTAGAATCATTTTTCCCCCAAAATCCTTCCATTAAAGGCACACATAGTGGTGGTTATCTCTCTTTTTGTGATAACAGCCATTGTTGATCATTGTCCAAATCCAGATTTATCAGAGGTTGAAAAGTGCCAGCATTCCAATTCTGTCAAACTTCTCATACTAGCTAGATTTTTAATTAAAGAAAAACTTCCCCTTATTGTCTCTTTGGTTACAAAGATGTTTAATTTGAAAAGGAAAGGTGGGAAAAACACTTGATTCTTTCCATTTATTTACCATTTTTCAAAATAATGAGTTTATTCTCCTTCATCCTACAAAGGTGACTGACGTTTTGGTTTGTTTCTTCTTAGTGTCATCATGAACTGATGATCTAAAATATTTGTTTCCATTGATGTTATAAGTCTTACTGTTGCTTAAATATTCTCATCTTTGGCCAGTTGGGAGCTTTTCAAGGTGGTACTTTTTGACATGACCTTAGTAGTCTTTGATAGTTTCCTTGCTTTTTGTTATGGAAAAGATGTTCCTGGCTAATCCCGTGTGTATCTTGTCCCATACCTAGTGTTGACCAGGCTGTCCAAGGAGCCCTGGTTCCTCTTAGTGGCAGGCCAGATTTACTGATCATGACATGAGTATTGTCACTGGCTTTTGAGTAATCCCTTCCTTCTTTTGGTAACTCTGGTGGATATTTTTTTTTCTCCTAGGAGTCCATGAAGAATATCAGCTGCCATATTATGACCTAGTGCCCTCTGACCCTTCCATTGAGGAGATGCGGAAGGTTGTATGTGACCAGAAGCTACGTCCGAACATCCCAAACTGGTGGCAGAGTTATGAGGTAGGAAGCGCCTGTCTCCTGTGCTCTTCTATCTGCCCAATTTCTCTACGTTAGAGAAGGGTTTCCCAAAAATGGGAACCCCAGGGCTACTACCTGTGTAATAATAGTTATTATGTTTCTATTACACGCTGTTATATACTAAGCCATTGTCTTGGACACTGTAGGGTCCCCTTTGGAACTTAGAAGAAGAAAGGCTTGTGCCCAAGACACAGATCAGAGACAAAACAAAGTCCGAGTGGGCTGTTAGACCTGTCCAACTAGAAAAATGGCTTTGGAGCCATAGTGGGTGAGCTGAGCTCCTTGGGAGAGTTCAGAAGCAGCATCCAAAGGGGGTCAGCAAGTGAGAGGTGGACTCAGTGAGAAAACAGGTCTGAGGGAGGTGGCTTTCTGAAAACTCAGAAGCGAGGAGGGTGCAGAGGGTTTGGATTTGGGGTTAATGGTGGATGCAGTGGGAAGGGGACGACATTCGGTGGAAATAATAGATGCGAGGACAAATTTATGATCTAGATTCCTAATAAACCTGGAGTTGTGGGGTGCTAGAGTCTTTGGGGGTGCAGGATTTGCTTAGCTGGTGCTCCTGGGGCCCCTTTTCACTGGTGGCTCTGCGTTAAGGCGTGCCACCACTAGAGGGCAGCTCTGCGTTGAGGAACAGAGTCTGCACATTTCAGTGGCCCTTCCTCTTTGCCTGACAGAGCAGCATTTTCCATAGTATTCCTCGGAACCTCAGGGCCCGTTTACTTCAGAGGGTGAGGGAAGCAGAGAGCCAGTCTCTAGCTGCCCCCCACACTCCGTCTTCAGTCAGGGCTCTTCGTGGGTCGGGACTCTGCTTGGGAAAACAGGTCCCACTGCTGAAAGGAATCGAGAACACTGGCCTGGGGCAGCAGTCAGGGAGCTCTGTAGCCTCCACCAGTGACCCCCCAGATCCACCCCGCGCCTGTCTGCCGTGGCCGCCTGTGTCATCCAGGCCCTGGCTGCAAACCGCTGCCTCCTCCCCTTCCTCCGCTGTGTCTCTGCGGGTGAACGTGGGGTCACCGCTGCGTGCGTGCGCCTACAGGGGTTGTCCCTGCTGGGCCTGGTTCACCTGCTACTTTGAGAAAGCCGTCAGTAAACAGTCATAAGCGTGGCTACTTGGACCTTCCAGAAGTGGTTTTCAGATCACAGGCTGTGGCGGGTCTTGCTCTCAAGTTCACCTGGACTTGGGGGAATGGCGGACCATGCTTGTGGAGAAGGCCCCTCCACAGGCTGTCCGTTAAGGACTGGCGACTCCCAGGGGAGTGGGCTCGTGGGCATCTCCCCGGGGTCAGAAGGAGGGCAGCTGGGGGATCGGGCAGGCAGCAGCAGGGCAGGCTCCAGTGACCCCGTTTCTGTGCAGGCGCTGCGGGTGATGGGGAAGATGATGCGGGAGTGCTGGTACGCCAACGGCGCAGCCCGCCTGACCGCGCTGCGCATCAAGAAGACCCTCTCCCAGCTCAGTGTGCAGGAGGACGTGAAGATCTAGCCGCCCCTCCCACAGCCGCCAGGCCGCGGGACCTACAGCTGAGCGGCCACGTCGAGCATCAGATGGAGGCCTACCTCTCGTTTCTGCCCAGCCCTCTGTGGCCAGGAGCTTGGCCCACAGAGGGACAGAGCCCGGGAGACTCGCTCACTCCCACGATGGGTTTGAGACACAGACACCTTTGATATTTACCTCCTAGTGGCATGGAGCCTCTGAGAGCGAATGGCATGGAGAACTCAATGCCGCGACCCGGACCGGCTGTCGTGGGATGTCTCACAAAGCCTGGTGCCTCCAGCAAGGAGCCTGGTGTGGCGACACGCGGCCCGGGCGGAGCTGAGTGTGGCCCCGTGCTGAGCAGCACTGAGGGCTTTACCCCGGGACCAACCCCAGTGCAGCGAGCGGCCCCGGGAACCAGAAGGATGGCCCCTCCTGGCAGCTCCAGGTCTCCGGCTCCCCTCCGCCCGCGAGGACCCCTGGAGGGACTGCTGGTGCCTGTCTGTCCAGCCGTGTGTGCATGTGCCGAGGTGCGTCCCCTGTTGTGCCTGGTCTGTGCCACGCCCTTACACGTGTGTGTGTATACGTGTGTGTCTGTAGGTGCGCACTTACCTGCTTGAGCTTTTTGTGCATGTGCAGGTCGGGGCTGTGGTCGTCATGCCGTCTCTGCGTGCTGGTGCCTCTGTTCAGTAGTGAGCAGCGTCTAGTTTCCCTGGTGCCCCTCCCGGTGGCCTCCCTCCCCACCCCTCCTTCCAGAACCCCCACTCCACAGTGGTAACCCCCCCCGCCCCAGCAGGCTGTTCCGCCTGCCCCTGTGTCGCCTGGCCCTCCTTCTCCACTTCAGACTGTGGAGCCAAAGCTGGCCCAGTTGTCCGTGGCAGGCGAGGCTTTTGGGTCCAAATGTGAGGGAGGAGGGTGGGACGGGCAGGGCAAGAATCTCATCGGAAACCTGGGGTGTTGTGGTCAGCGGCCACTGTGGGAAATGAGCCAGCCTAAGGGCATCATCCTCGGCAGTGTCAAGGAGGGGCCGAGGAATTTGCAGCCCAGACCTGGGGAGACTCAGACTGGAATGTCACATCTGTCTTTCATATCCCAGATTCTGGAGACAGCAGTGTGTATTTTCGGTGGTGGTGGGTTTAGGGCGGGGAAGGGAAGCGGGGATGAGGACTGGGGAGGGAGGCTGGGGGGGAGGGAGGCATCTGCATGGGTCTTTTACTGGGTTATCCGATCATGGTGGAGGGAAGATGTGAGACTTGCATCCACTTCAGGGGCTTTACTAAAGGGAACAGCCTGAGCTGAACCTGTTATTTAACCTGAGTGTAGTATTTAACGACGTCTAGAAGCACGGTTGTGGGTGGTGGTTCGGTCAGCATATCTTAGGTATATAATAACTTTGAAGCCATAACTTAACTGGAGTGGTTTGGTTTTCTTTCTTTCTTTCTTTTTTTTTTTTTTTTAATTTTATTGGGAGGGTCTGGATTTTAACTTTTTTTAAATACTGTTAAGTTTTTATAAAAGGAAAACCATCTCTATGTGATAATTACCTCTCAATCCATTTGTTTTTAAGGAAATCCCTATAAAAACAACCACACACAAAAAAATGCTTCAATCAGACACACACAGCTCAATCACACTGGAATATCCTTGTACCTGAGCCTGCTCCCCCCGCCACCTCAGCTGCAAGAGTTCCTCTGCCCTGGGGGTTGGTCTCGCTGGCGTCCTGCCTCCCTGCCCAGTCCCACCCAAAGTGGGTTTTGCACTGGGGCTCTAGCTTTTTGTGCGTCGCCCACAGGTTGCACCTTCTCCTCCAGGCATTCACTCAGCAGACACTCGCTGAGTGCCAGCTGGGTGTCAGGCACCATGCTGGGTGCTGGGAAATACAGCTGTGAACAAGATAGGCTTGGGTCCTGCTCTTGGAGCACTGACAATGGGACTGACTCAAGTCAGGGGGTGCCTATCTTGAGACCAGAAGTTTTCATAGTTGGTTCTGAGCCTTTTGAGCCTGGAGCGATTGCTCTTATACAAGACCACTAAGGAGGCGAGGATGCCCCCCTGTGCCCCACCAAAGAGGCCGGTGGTGGGCAGTGAAATCCCCCCATCACTGCGTTCATCCAGAGCCCCCTTCCTGCCCCCCAGGGGAGGCACAGTGTGTGTGCAGCCTCAGTGCATCCCTGCCTCTAGCCCAGCGATTCTCTGCCAAAGCTTGTGGAGGAGGGGGGAGCCCTCCCCCCACTTCCATCCGTCTCCCCAGTGCCCTGGCCTTCCTATTTATTTTCCTGGTGTAGTGCTTCTTTCCTTGCGTTAAAGGAGATCTTCCCCTCACCCTTTGGGCCAATTTACTGGCTACTGATTAATTTCCCTTAAATACCAATTGTGTCATTAGGGGGATCTTCTTTCCCTACCCCTGCTGACGCGCTTTCCCCCTTCTTGTCTGCCCTCCGGCAGAGCTTGGCGGGTTATGGGAGCTGATGGAACTCAGACTCCTCACTCCCTGCCTCAACCAGCCTCTGGGATCTGCCGACACTCCTCGACCCAGGGACTCCCAAGCCACTAGCCCGCTGCCCAGGTGGCCCAGCTGTCCTCACCACACACTCCTCCACCTCCGGGGAAGACTCAGCAGTTCTGGGGGGAAGCTCCCAGCCCCACTGCCGCCACTCTTAACCCACGAGTTAGGAGTTAGAGAGTTGGGGAGAAACTAAAGCTGTGGTTTTGGCTCCCTGAGGCTAACCCTGATCCATAGGGCTACCTGCACCTCTGGATTTTGGATTCACAGACCAAGTCCAAGCCCGTTCTTAACGTCGCCATCAAGGCCCCTGAACGGCATTCTCGGTACTTCTGTTTGTTTTTGTACATTTTATTAGAATGGACTGTAAAATAGCCACTTAGACACTTTACCTCTTCAGTATGCAAATGTAAATAAGTTGTAATATAGGAAATCTTTTGTTTTAATATAAGAATGAGCCTGTCCAATTTCTGCTGTACATTATTAAAGTTTTATTCACAGAGCCTCTCTGGTGCTGTCTGTTTGACATCTGTAGACCAACTGGCTGCCCGGCCTTTGTCAGGGGAGTTGGGCAGATGCTCTCAGGTAGTATCTTTCCCCTCCCACTTGCCAGGGCATGATGTTCATGATCATCTGCTACAGCAGCTCACGTCAGAAGAGGACCTGATTGGAACATTGTGGGGGTCTTCCTGAGGCTGTTTCTCTGCATTTCATAGAGGGAAGGCCTGGCCTGGAGAGGGAGTGGAGGACAAACTCAACACCTTCTCTTGGGCTTTGTCCGTATTTGTCTTTTGACAGTTTTCTCTTTATATAAAAGAGGGTCTTGATCCTGGTAAGTCACAAGCCACCTAGTCTCCACAGCAGCCTAGGCCCTCCTCAGTTTTCGCTTCCCCACTCCTGACTCGGAGTAGAAATGTGAACTTGGGGATGGGTTAGGGGACTTTGAAATGGGAGTGTACAGTGGTTTACTCTGGGATTTTCAGTGTGTGGCTGGCTGTGAATGTCTTTAAAAATCTCTAGGCCGAGGAACCCAAGAGAAAAAGTCTAGAATCATAGGATCTCAAGTTTAGATGGGACTCCAGAGGTCCACCACCCATCACGTGCTTGACTCCCCCATAGCATCCCCGCCAAGTGGCCATAGCCTCATGCCGTGACACTCAGGACCACAGCCCCCACCTGCTGGCCATCTGCTCAGCGGACAGCTCTTCTTTGCATAGAACTGGGCAGCCTCCCTGTGAGTTCTCTCCACAGATGGTTCAGAGCACTAATTCGCTCTTCCACTTAAGGTCCCTTAAAATACTTGAAGGCAGTTGTTACATTTTCATGAATCTTGCAAAGCTTAAGAGCGTCTCCCATTAATATTAGCAAATACTTACTTAAAAGTTACTGTGTGCTAAGCAGTGTGCCCAAATTGGCCTTACATACATGAACTGCTTTCATCCTCAAAACAACATGAGGTGGCCATTATTATCCTCTGTGGATTAGGAAACTGATGGTTAGAGAAGACAAATTGCCCACGTACGTAGCTCACAAGGGTGGAAAAGACCTTGGGTCCACAGTGTCTGGCCAGAGACTGCATCCCCTCAGCCTCGGCACATCCTGCCTCCATGATGCCATCCCCTTCCCCCACGCTGGCTGCTCACCGAGAACCTGGCTGGATCCTGGGGCCACGGAGGGCACGTAGCAGTCCACCCGGACGTTGACAGCACAGACTAGGATGAGAATCCCAGACTGTTTGACACCTTCAGGTCACATCCCAGGACTGCACCGCATGTTGCAGTTTGAGTAAAATCCAGCCCCGCTCCTCCATCCTGTATATGAGAAATTGGTATTTTTGAACTCAAGTGCAGGATGTTATGTGTTTACCCCATTAAATTTTACCATAGAACCTGCCAATAGCTCCAGCCTTCTCAATATTTTAAAATTCTGATTTGTTACCCAGAGTTTTCTATTGTCCTGTCACCTGAGACCGTTGGACTGGAGAAAATCAAGCAACTTTCCTCTAGAAGTTGGCTTTTAAGTCTGGCATACATCCCACTAACCCAAATCAGCCACTAATTAAGTTGTTCTTGCATCCTGGCCAGAATTCTTTAATGGACAAAATAACAGCAAAGGCACAAGCACTTTGCAGATGTAGCAAGGTATTCTTGTGTTTGTCGAAAGGAAAGGTGAAGTGGGTTATAGTGGACCTCATCCCAGTTCAAAAGCTAATCAGTAGTGAGTCATCTTGCCAACTATGGACCCCAAATCCACTAGGCTAAGAACTGCAGGTTCAACTTTAATTTTGAAAATCAGAAGGCAACCACACTGGGACCTCTTCATGTGCCCTTGAAGGTTACTAGCATTTCACCTTTGTAAGGCCCATGACACAGGAGACCTGAATTTGTTTGAATATGGGGGTTTTGTTGCCCACATTTAAATTTTCTGTCCCTGCCATCCTCCCACCAGACCATGTCTTCTGATCTACAGTCTGGAGAAAATGCTTGCTAAATACAACCAAAACAAA